GTTAGCCAGGATGGTCTTGATCTCCTGACCTCGTGATCCGCCCGTCTCGGCCTCCCAGAGTGCTGGGATTACAGGCGTGAGCCACTGTGCCCAGCTGGAGTTTTTTTAAGACTGGGTCTCACTCTGTCACCCACGCTAGAGTGCAATGGCATAATTATAGATAGCTCACTGGAGGCTTGAACTCCTGGGCTCAACTGATCCTCCTGCCTCAGCCTCCCAAGTAGCTGGAACTATAGAAGCACACCACTAAGCCCAGCTAATTAAAAAACTGTTTGTAGAAACAGAGTGTCACTATGTTGCCCAGACTGGTTTCAGACACCTGGCCTCAAGCAATCCTCTCACCTCAGCCTCCCAAAATGCTGGGATTACAGGCGTAGGTCAACATGCCTGGTCTACAGATCATGGGAATTATAACGTAAGAAACTGAAATCTCAAAATATGCCAACTTTTATCTGTATCACAAAGACTATGTAAATAATCCAAAATTCACAGTCTTTGTTCTTGGAATTGTATCTTAATAGGGAGCTTTTAACATTTTATGCCGTTTAAGCCAATGTTAAAACTCACATATGTACTGATCTCTTCAAAAGAGAAGGTTAATTCAAATATCCACTAAGTGATAGGGAAAAGCAAGTCCAAATATGAGGTCAGGTGAAACAGATTATTTATCATGTAAATGTCCAAAATCTAAAATGGCTTTACAATTAGTAAGGCTGTTGGCTATAAGATTTTGACCACAAATTTAATAAATGATGCACACAAATTGTGCAGTACTGTTTTTAAAAGGGGGTAAAGGGGTTGGGCACAGTGGCTCATGCCTGTAATCCTAGCACTTTGGGAGGCTGAGGCGGGTGGATCACCTGAGGTCAGGAGTTCGAGATCAGCCTGGTCAATATGGCAAAACCCTGTCTCTACTAAAAATACAAAAATTTTGCCGGACATGGTGACTCACCTGTAATCCCAGTTACTCAGGAGGCTGAGGCAGGAGAATGGGAGGCGGAGGCTGCAGTGAGCCATGATCGCGCCACTGTACTCCAGCCTGGGTGCAAGAGCAAGACCCTGTCTTTAAAAAAAAGCGTGTGTCTGCGTGTGTT